TCCCACTGCTTCACCATGTGTTGTTCTGAATTTTAGGAAGAGGCAAGGAGACTTCTTCTCATTAAGCCTTTATTGTAACAACTAACCCCTGACCCAAAAAGGTCAACCAACCACTTCCTGTGGATTTCACACTACTACAGGCCACATAGGTGTCTGTGTAGAGCTATAGTATGAGGAGGATCAGAGTAATTCAAATACTGGTGCTTCCCTACAGCAGCTAATTTATTCAATAGAAACATTCAAATGAGTAGGAAGAGATAGAAAGGGATGCTTTCATACTTGGATATTGTAAATCGCACTTACGCCTTCTGAAAACTGTCAGCTTAATTGAAGCTCTGTCAGGAAGGAGTTCCTATGTCACTTAAATGAACATGAATTCATCTATCTTAAAAAGGGATAGTTTTAATATTTACTCTTATAAATTCAAAAGCAACCTTTAAAAGCATGAGGCTTTATAAGTGTATCTTTAATCAGTTATGCTAAATGTAAATCTCATGCTATTTTTGGTTTAAAAATTTTAGTTTCACGTTTTTAGCATACATGTGCATCTTAAAATCAAAATATCTGGATGATACTGTGATTGAAATTTTGGCTAAAAGAAAGAAATGGTGGATGTGTTAACAGGTGCATGTTATGAAAGTTGAAAGAAATGATTCTTCCTTTCTGTTCAGCACTAGTGAGGCTTTGCCTGGAGTACTGTGTCCAGTATGGGGACCATGGACAAATTGGATGGAGGAGAGCAACAACAGTGATTAGCGGGCTAGAAAACATGACGTATGAGGAAAAGCTGGAAAACCTGAGATCATTTAGTCTGAGGAAGAGAAGACTAAGGGAGGATTTGATAAGTTTTCAAATAAAAAGAGGGTTTATACAAGGGAATTGATCAATTGCTTTCTCTGTTCACAAGGCACAGGCCAAGTAGTAGTATAGTAAAAGTCTTAAATTGCAACTAGCACTACTTAAGTTAGGTATTACAACCCCCTTTTCTAATATGAGGGTAATCAAACATTTGGACAGATTAGCTAGAGCAGGAGTTGTCAGTCGGGGGTACACATACCCCTGGGGGCATTTGAGAAGGCCCTAGGGGATACATGCAGGCGGGTGGAGATGGAGTGTTTTCACACAGGTGCCTCCCAGCCAGCTGGACGCAGGGGAGGAGGGAAGCTCGCACGTGGCAGGTGCCACTGCTCCACGTCCAGCCACGCACCACACCCCTTTCCCCCGCTCTGCGTCCGATTGGCAGGGGTACACTGATCCAAAAAGATGGAAAACCCCTGACCTGGAGAGCTTGTGGAATTGCCATCACTGTAGGATTCATAGATTCATAGATTGTAGAGTCGGAAGGGACCACAATGGATCATCGTGTCCGACCCCCTGCCCCTGGCAGGAAAGAGGACCGAGGTCAGATGACCTCAGCCAGGTGACTATCTAACCTCCTCTTGAAGACCTCCAAGCTAGGTGATAGCACCACCTCTCTTGGAAGCCCATTCCAGATCCTGGCCACCCTTACTATGAAAAATTTTTTCCTAATATCTAACCTAAATCCACTCTCAACTAGTTTACACACGTTATTCCTAGTCACTCCCTGGGGCACCCTAGTAAACAGCACTTCCCCTATTCCCTGTTTACCTCCCCTAATAAATTTATAGGCGGCCACAAGATCTCCCCTCAGCTGTCTCTTGTGAAGGCTGAAGAGATTCAGCTCTCTCAACCTCCCCCTGTAGGGCCTATCACAAAGGCCACTAATCATGCGAGTGGCCCTTCTCTGGACCCTCTCCAGATTCCCTGCGTCCCTCTTGAAGTGTGGCGCCCAAAACTGGACGCAGTACTCCAACTGCAGCCTGGCCAGTGCTGCATAGAGGGGGAGCATCACCTCCTTTGATCTATTAGTCATGCACCTGCTAATGCACAACAAGGTGCGATTGGCCTTGTTGATGGCCTCGTTACACTGCCGGCTCATGTTCATCTTGGAGTCAATTATGACTCCAAGATCCCTCTCTGCCTTTGAGCTGCTGAGAAGGACACTCCCCAACCTATAGGTGTGCTGGGGGTTCCTCCTTCCCAGGTGGAGTACCTTACATTTATCTTCATTAAATTGCATCCTATTTCTCTCTGCCCATTGATCCAACCTGTCCAGGTCAGCCTGAATCTGCTCCCTGCCCTCAGCTGTACTAACTTTGCCCCATAAGTTGGTATCATCAGCAAACTTGGAGAGGGTGCTCTCCACGCCCTCGTCCAAATTGCTGATGAAGATGTTAAATAATATTGGTCCAAGGACCCCTGCAGACCAAGAAGGAACCATCCACTACCACTCTGGGTGCGGTCCCTAAGCCAGTTGGCCACCCACCTGACCGTGTAGGCGTCCACTCCACAGTCTGCTAGCTTCCCAATGAGGATAGGGTGC